GTATGGTCGAGATGTCCCTCCCCCCCCCCCCCCCCCAGGAAATAGGTAGGTTAACTGCTATTAGAAGCATTTTAGGAATATAATTCAACAACATCAGGATCTAGCAGCACTTTTTTACTGGAATATTTATGTCTGGTGCTCCAATTTGGAGTTCTTCCTGCGTTAAAAAAAATATTTCTGCTGCTTTTGTGTGTCATACAATTATATGGTTGCATTTCCTTTGGTTTTAGAAGGGCTGTCTTTTTAACAGCATGGAAACAATTTTATTACCAAAAAAAAAAGAAAAAAGGAGCAAATTTCTGGGGCAATAATTTTTTTGTGTTTTCTTGGGGAAGGGTTTATTTGGTCAGTCTTGGGATATAATTCATTTAAATATTTTCATACCTGTTTAGAAATGCAGAGGTTCTAATGGTGCATTTCTGCACCATCATTAACCTTGGTGTGGCTGGGCAGATATTCCAGGCCTCTTTCTTACTATCAATTTACATTCATTTTCCACAACTAACTGCAGTGCGGGGTTCCAGGTGTGCACGGGAGGAGGTGTACTGCTTCCCCGGCAGATGTGGTGGCAGTGACCTAGGATCTAAATTCTTGTCTGTTTGGAAGCGCAGGAAGAGCTGTGGGGTCAGTGTGTGCTGCTCAAATCCTTGTTCCTGCTGCACTTGGAGGGAGAGGCATGCCTGTAGCTTGCTGGGGTTCCAAAAGAAAGAGCTAGAGATTTCTAATGAGATTATTTCAGATATTCTGTGGTGGATGTGATGGATGAAAAATAAATTAAATCAATATTAAAAAAACCTTTCGGTTTCTAGGGGGTAATGGGTGTAGTCCAGTAAGTACTAATTCCGGTCACGTTTTTGTTGAGATTTTGTAACTTTCCCAGTGTCTGAACCACATGTAGGTGTTGTGTTTTGGAGGGAAGGTTGAACACTGTCGCAGAACTCTTCCTACAAGCCTTAAGGAGCACGTTAGAAAGATCTGTAGTGCGTAGGTGTTCTGGACCAAATGCATTTTTTTTTTGCAGTGATCTTTACTGTGGTTTATGTTTGCAGGTAGTCAAAGCTGAAGTTTACATGGTTGGGTAACAAATTGTCATTTAAAATGCTATTTTCATGTTTTTAATTGTACGGAGTTTAAATTTTCTCTATTCTGTTGTGTGCAATAGCTCCGCAGCTTAAATCACACTAAAAGCTAGCTAAAGATGTTAAATTATTTTGTTTGTATTGAGCTGACCTGTATTTCCTTTAAACTTCCAAACTTATTTGTGAATTCTGAGAACTCATAACCAAAAAAAATCCCAATTCAGTTGTTATTGATACGCTTCCTGTGAATATTTTTCACTGAAGGTGAACCTCTAAATCTGCTCAGCATGTTGCTTTGAAATTGCTAAGTTGTAAGCGTACATATATATGAATATGCATAAAATACTGCAAAATTTGATTATCTTTCATAGGGAAGTTTTTACCTTTGAAGACAATGTTAGGACCAAGATATGATGAACAGGTTGCTGAAGAAAATCGTTTTCATCCGAGTATGTTATCCAACTACTTAAAGAGTCTGAAGGTAAAGTGAAATTTTCTAATAATTGAAACATTACTTTCATTATTAATGTTTATTCAAATGTTGCTTTTCAGATTTAAGAAAAAAGTGGTTTGATGGCTTCCTTTGGGACATCTGTGCAGAAATTTTTTTTTTTTTTTGTTTACATTTCAGGTTTTCTCTGCAACTCCTAAATTTCCAAAAGTACTTTCTTACAGGCAAGAATTGTGCAAAATCCTCCAGCTCATTCACTGTACTAGAAGCAACAATCTCACTCTTCTCTGTCATTACTGTTGCATCTTGGAGAGGTGTCATTATCAAAATTCAGATAGTCTGAGATTGTAGTTTTACAAATGACTCTTGCATATGGATATGTTAAGTTGCAGTTTTGCTAATAGTAGTGAGAGCATTTAAAAGTGAAGGGAGAATTTCATAGAACTCTTCTGTGGTTTCAATGCATAATTTTCTTCTTATGATGCATAGAATGCTCTATAGTATCTAACCAGTCATACCCAACTATGGAAGAAAACAATTTATGGATTTTATCCATTAACTTCTTAGTGGAAAAAAAATGCATAAATGGGAAAAAATTGTAGGAGCATGGATTGAGACCCAGGAAGGTGGGTGGATGCCTTTATCATTGGGTTACAGAGTTGTGCTTCTGGCTTATTTCTTCATTCTCTGTTTCACCCATTTCCGTCTGTCTACTTCAACTTGCATGTTGTCCTGCACTGTAGAACAACTTCGACAATAAAGGTGGGGAATGGTACCTTTCCAGCCTTTCATGTAGGTCTGTGAAGTGTGCCCAGTCCAGCGCATCTGGAGATGTGGGAAATGGGATTTTGAACTGCCAGGCAAAGAAAGGCCTACAACCTAATTCTTTTAATCTGTTTATTAAACTGTTATATAGAAGGTTACCACCGGCTTTTTTTTGACTGTGTGTTTTATAAAACTAATTGTGCTAGTGATGTTTTTTTCTGTGGGTTTTTTTGCTGTTGATCTAAGTTAAATTAATTCTGAACTTGTTTAACAATATCAGAGCTTAAACATCAGAAGAGTCGGGTGACTAAAATATGGGAATCTTCATTTTATGAAGCTTATTTAGGCTTAGGTATAAAGTAGATGGTGAGCGGCGCAGTGTAGCAGCAATAGAAGTACCTGTGGGCTAATGTGATAAGGAAGTACTGTCAGCGAAGCATATATGCCTGTTCTCAGATGCTTGAACTGGTAGGATTTTTCTTGTTTGAATTCTTGGATCTATGCATCTAAATTCTGCTTGAGTTCCTCTTTTATGCATTATGTTGGTTTTGACTCTGACCGGCTTAAATGGGCACACCTAGAAATTTTCCAAACCCAATCTTATTCATGGTTTAAAGTAACTTAAAATTCTGCATATATTTTGAAGTTATAGAGAACTTCAGAGACTTACTCAGAATTTCTGACTATTTGCTTGTTGGTGATTTGTCACCGAAAAAGAAATCATGGTGAGCCTTCATAGCCTTTCCACTAGGCACATTGATCAGTCCTGTTGCAATACTACAAATTTGTAATGTCTTGAGTGACATCAGATGATTAGACTCTGATAGTACAATTACTAGCATGAGGATCCCCACTTATATTCTGGCAATTTTGTTAACAAGCAGAACATATAATTTCTCTCAAGCTCCCTGTTCTCATCAAATCTATTATATTGTCTTGAACCCTGGTGCTGTTGCTAAATGTGCGCTATTTGAAAGCATACGATTTTTTATTTGCCAAGATATGCAGTGGGTTACTGGAGTGCTGTATTTGTGGAACAGCAGTTTACGAACAATCTGGCAATGAGATGAATATGCAGTTGAGGAGACCTTGAAAAGTGGATTTTCCCAAGACAAAAGTAGCTCACTGTGCATGGTTCTCATCATTTTACTGCAGTGTGTTTTACTGCTAATACTTTGCAGAATGAATCACTTCTGAAACCTGGTTATTACTTAAGTCCATATAATTTATCTCCCAAATAAGAGACTTCAGCAGAAACTTTTACATCTGGATTTCGGTAATAGTGAGATACTGCGGCCACCACAGATTTTTGAAGGTACCGGTTCAGTGTTTAAGACAACATCTGTCTGGGAGAAACTTTCTCGAAGAAGCTTCCCATGCGATTCCTTTTGCTCATGGAGCTGGTCGCTGAAAATCTAAATGTTAGAAAGTGATTTGCTAAGGGATAGCAACCCTGTCTTTCTTCTGATTGCCAGTATTGACATAGTATCTTAATGGTCTCATAAAAAAAAAATTGCAGGAACAATTGCTGACAGTGTGAATAATTTAATTTTTTTATTTCTTTCTTGAGTAGGTAGGTTAGTACTGTTTATGCTTTATAAAAGGTAGGTTTATTTCTGTTACGAAGAGCTAGGGCATTAGTTAACTCAAAAGAATGTTTGGGCAATTAGTCTGCTGAAGTTAAAATATTCTTATTAGGAAAACTAGTTATCAGTTTTCAGCCACATTATTGTCTTCACAGATAAATTCAATCACTGATTTAAACTATTTTCCTCAAATAAGAAATGCAAGAAAAAAAATCCTGGGACTGGAGAGAATTCAGTGTATTGTAGTATGCTCTCTCCCACCCGGGGAGGATGTTTTCAAGTTCCAATGTCTGATGAGAAACTTCTGGGGTCATACAAGGGGAACCTAGCTAAGGCCATTTAATCGCTCAGCAGCAGAAAAGCGCATGCATAAGGCATTAATAGCTGGGGATAGCTGGAATGTGAGAAAGTGAGGAGGAAGGCTTTTATAACCATGGGAGAACACGGAGAGCCTGGCCAAAATACGTATGAGCAGAATGGAGGTGGTAGGAAGATCTTGCTATTATTTTATGTAGAAGATGAGAATTTCAAGCTATCGATGAGCTTTTTTCCTTCTATCCGGTCATCTTCTACAATTAGAAGCAAGAAAAAAAACCCTAGTTTCAGTTGTGTTTCAATGTGGTGTCTAGGATTGTAGTGTTCCAACAGTCCTTGTAAGAAATAAATGTATGTTTTAGTGAGAAGTTGCTCAACAATTTAAAATTATTCTTTTTTCCAAAATGGTGTCATTCAGTGGGTGTGGTGGGGTGAAAGATGTGATTCATGCAAAACATTGGCTGGAAAAACATTTTTTTCCAGTGTGTGACTGTCTGTTCTAGCTTAGATAGTCTTTCAAAAATCAGGTCCTATTAAGAACTTTCTAGGAGCAAACTTATGAGAGCGTGACTGAGAGGATGACACTGATGACTGGTATGATGTCAGGGTTTCAGAGCAGAGCAAAGCACTTACGTGATGAACGTATGTGTATTAGAATCTATTCTATAGGCGAGAATTGTGGTCAGTCAGGACAAGCATAGTATCGCTGCAGCTAGGTGACTGAAATGGTTCGATTCCTGTGGTACCAGTGGTTTTTTTGCATGGGTTTTTGGAACATCATAATTGTATACTTTGATATGTTATACAATCCCCCCACTTTTTAAAAATTTCTTTATCTTTTTCTTTTGCCTTGCACTCTCTAAATTGTAGTGTGTTACGTGCAGCTAATTGCATGAACTGAGAGAGTAAACGTTTATGCTTTCTGTAAAGCAAGGAAACTGCTTTCAGGCCTTAAATGCTCTATATGCCATACATGCTTTTATAGCTTTGGCTGAATTATATCAGATGCCTGTTTGGTTTACTGCTCCATGAAATGTGTGAGGAACAGTCACTTCACAAGATCTTCACTTGTGTATGATTGAAATGATTCGTAATAATTACAAAGGAATAGCAGGCCAAGAGTCCTAGAGTCCTGTGGTTCAGCTTTTCCTCTCTAGCAGAAATTTTGTTTGAACCAAGGGTCAGTAGGATGCACTTTGCTGATGTTCTTTTTGTGTTGCATGCCACCCAGTGGAATTTCTGCTTTCCATCTTGCTTTTTAAAAACGTAGTAACTTCCACAAGGCTGCTTTAAAAGACCTATTTTACAGCTATAAAAACCAAACACTAAAAAACTAAGTTCATGCACAAGGGGAGACATTAGGGTAGAGTGGGCAAGGCAGCCTGAACTCAGGTACGTGTTAACATCTGAGTAGTTGACACTGCCACCTTAATTACTACAGCATCTTTGAAGATTTCAAGTTGTTTCACATTTTAGCTTTGAATAAAATGTTTTTGAGAATTTAAGGGATTTTTTTTTGTTTTAAACTTGAAAATGTTTTCATTTGTTTTGCATGCTAATTTAATGGATGGGTAAATTAAGATGAGGTTGGTTTTTTGTTTTTTTTTTTTCTTCTGAGAGTATACTTGTATACATAAGTCTCGGTAGTTAAGTTTTCTTATGGTACTTCCACTGTGCCAGTGTTTAATATTGTTCAACTTGAAGTGTAAGAGCACCTGATTCCACCTTATTTGTCTTTTAACATGTTAAAATAATTCTTTAGCAGATACTTTCCTGCTGTTAGCAGATCTTTCTTATTTAGAAACATTGGTGGAAATGAACTGAAGTTTTTGAATTGATGGCTAGTGCTAATTCGGACACCAGCTTTCACAGAGAAACACAGATGACTGTGATGGTGGTAAAATACAGGTTTTACGAACAAATGCAATATTTAAGAATTTTTTAACTTGCAGCTGTAGCCTGCTATTGATTTATTTTGGATGTTATTAGCCATTTCGTATTTATGCACTGATATTTGAACAACATATATAAGTTCCCCCTTTTTTTTTTTTTTTTTTTTTTAGGTTAAAATGGGTTTACTGGTAGATTTGACCAACACCACTAGATTCTATGATAGGAATGATATAGAGAAAGAGGGGATTAAATATATAAAGCTCCAGTGTAAAGGGTAAGTTGTCTGCACTTCTTAAATATTTAGCTTTTAATTTGAAAGATCACACTGAAGTAATTAATTTTTTTTTTTCTCTTCCCTTTCCCTCAGCTGTCTCCTAATCTGTGTGTTCCTGTGTTTTTCAGGCATGGTGAGTGCCCTACACCTGAGAATACAGAAACATTTATCCGTGTATGTGAACACTTCAGTGATAAGAATCCCTCAGAGCTTATAGGTATGTTGTCTTATATCCATTATATCCCTCCTATATCCATCATTAGTTTTTACTGTGAATTTATTTCATATTTACTCATAACTGCAGTCTCTTATTCTTAAAAGTCTAAGCAAAGGAATTTCCTCAGTACAGTGTTTTTGCATATATAGATTTGATTGCTTTTACTCCAGAAACTAGTATATTCTGTTTTTTACAGAAACTAGTATGTTTCTGCATTCATTAATTTGATTATAGCTATCGACTTAATGCAGAAAAATATACAGACTTAAGAACTGTCTACAAACACATTATATTTGCATTGCGTTCTTGTAACTTCTCTTCTTAGGAGTACATGGAACAGTTGTTTGTGTAGGTGTCATTGATAAGAGCTTGATAAAATTAGCTGCTATGTTCTCACAGTCTAGGATTCAGACAGAATCATAGAATTGTACAGTAGTTGAAGTTGTTGGAAGGGACCTGTGGAAATCAGCTAGTCAGTTGCCCTTCCTTAGAGCAGGGCCAGCTGAAGCAGCTTGCTCAGGACTGTGCCCATTTGGGTTGGGTTTTGACCATCTCCAAGCTTGGAGACTCCACAACGTGTTTGCTCACAATTACAATACACAGGACTTTTTTCCTTATGTTTAAACAGAATTTTTTGTATTTCAGTTTGTACCCATTGCTTTTTGTCCTGTCACTGAGGATTTTTTTTCAGTGCTTGAGAGATTTAATTTGGGCACACACTTTTTCACATAATTTTTTTAGGTACTTTCTTATTTCTTTATTTCACATAGAATGCAATTTTAATTTGAGACCTATGTTTTCACAAAGTATGTGATATGAAAAATGAGGAACTACTAAATGAGATTGAGTGGGATCAGTCATCAACAATATTTCAAGTTCTGGTGCAAGTTCTGAAATATTGTTGATGACTGATCCCACTCACTGTCACTTAGCAGTTCCTCATTTTTGTCTGTCCTTTTGCAGTTCCTTCACTTGGTCATCCAACAATATTTCAGAACTTGAAATATTATTATGGTCAGCAATTTATATGGAGCGTGGATAGCATGGTGATACCCTATAAATAGCAGACCCATTTAACTGGTATTTCAACTTTTAAAATGCCATTTTTAGTGTTGAATCACTAACTTTTGTGACCTCTATGAATTTTGGAATGTTCTTCCATTATTTAGGTTGTTTCACCTCAATGGAAAAAAAAGCTAATTAGAAAGAGTCAAGAAGAAAATAATGTGTTGACTAAGCTTTTAAATAACCTGTGGTTTAGGCTTTCATAGTAAAAGAGAAATGTTGGGATTTTTCATTTCCCTTCCGTGAATTACTGAAAAGTTGTTTCTCGTTCTGGACACTTGTTTCGTCTGACAGAGCATCAGAGGAATATGTGTGGAGGATGTTTTTATCAAAAGCGAAAGCAGTCTGCAGCAGTGATAGTACTGCACCGTGTGATCTTTCCCTTCCAAGCCATTGGTCTCATTGCTGAGATGCTTCTTACCTTTGTAATGTGTATAAAATTATTGACTTACCCTTCTTGGTAGCAGTAACAGCTGCAGGACTTGCTGACACCAATTGTGTGCAATTTCATTTCCAGTGTCAAGATTAGATATGGAAAGAGACTGAAATGTGAATGATAAATGAACAAAATTTTCTATTCAGCTAGAACAATATAGGATGGAAACTTTATTTTTGCAACTTGAAGGACTGGAGTACGCCTGCCAACCTTAAGGAAACAAAATGCGCAATTTTTGCATAAGCAGAAAACAAAGGAGAAATGATTTCTGGGAACAAATTCTATAACAAAGCTAAAATTCCTTTCATTTGATGCAAGTTACACAGTTTTTAATACTATTAAATGGTTAGAATGGATGAATCCAAGAAATTTGTAGTAGTTTTTGCCTTGCTTTATTAAGAAGGGAAGCTTGGTGGAGTGGGCACAAACCCCGACCCTGTTACAGTTGATATATATTTCTGTTTACCCATATCAAGTTTCTTCTTTTCATCAGTCTACTCTTTGTAGGTATTTTTTGGATCTCCAGTAAAAAAAAAAAAAAAAAACCAAACTTGCAGTGTAGGGGAGCATATACTAAAAAAGACAGATATTCACATTTTGTCTGAATAAGCATCAAGTGAATTGTTGCCAAATTTACTTTACTGTGGTAGAGAAATAAGGAAATCAATAAAAGCTTAAGTGACTTGCTTCGTGGTCACAACTGAAAAATATGTTAATATTAAGAATAATTGTGTTTGGTGTTAGTGGAAACTTTAACACTCTAATATTTATAACTTAAAATGCAGTATGAGGAAGAGGCAACATCTTGCCTGAATCCTTTACAGTTTTAGTAGCACAAATTTTCAGACTGGTTTGTTTATCACTAGATGGTGCTGTTGCATTGGAAGGAAAAAAAGTTCCAGTGCATTTGACTCTTCCCCTCCTTTCACTGGGGGATGAATTCAGTAGAGGCTGAAGACTTAATTCTTTTTTTTCTTACATTAACAGATAAGTTATTCAAGATGATTATACTGCTGTATAGTTTTCTTTTTGTGGTGTGGTTGGTGTGGTTTTTTTTTTTGTTTTTGGGTTTTTTTTTTTTCAAAATTAGTAAGTCTGGCCTTAGCATGCTAATAGCAAATTTGAAATAGAATTGCGGTCTGTTGACACTGCTTTCAAGTTTGAGGTAGGGTAATCTGGATATTATTTTTATGCCTGATGGTGTGAAATGAATGTAATGCTTATTGAATCCACTAAAAGCACAATTATTGAATTTGGTTGTATTTTCTTCTGATAAGCATTTCAGCAGTTATAAAAAACCACTTTGAATCTTATCTGTATTAGCCATATTTCAGTTGTGTTAAGTTAGTGCTCTTGAGTTGGGATAAACTGAAGTATCCTATACTCTTGTTGCTAATAATTTGCAGAAAGAATGTAATAAATTGTTTTTTAGGCTTATGTGCCTTACGTGATCTGGGCTGCCTTGATGGGGAGAGAACTCTTTAATGTTACTGATGAAGGTAGAAGGATCCAAAAACACACTTCTGAAACTCAAGCATGTTTATTAAAACTACTTGCAAATGATTATGCCCTTTTCTTGTGTTGTCTAGGTGTCCATTGCACACATGGTTTCAATAGAACTGGATTTCTGATCTGTGCCTTCTTGGTCGAGAAGCTGGACTGGAGGTAACTTTGAATGTTAATTCCTAGGGATTTGTGGAGAGTGACCAAAGGCATCTTCAGTATGTTTCACTCATTGTCCTGACAGCTATCCTAATGTATTCACTGTTATTTGAAAACTGCCTACTAATCTTGAGCAAACAACCTATATTAACATTATCCATATCATCCCTTGTTAGCTTAGCCTGTTTCAGCCAAGCTTTCCAGGTCCAGTAGGTCAAAAGTCAGCTGTACCTGCTGTGTGCGGGCTTTTAGGAGCGTATATATTGTGTTGTGTCTCTTCCCCCTGACATATCCCACATTTTGAGTAAGAATGTAGAGTTCAGAGATGCCTGAAAGATTATTTCTCTTACTTTTTCATCTTTTTCATGCAGGTTTTCATGTAGACTTTTTTTGGTTTTTTGAGTTCTGAAGAGAAGATACTAGCTAGAGCAACAGCAGAATGACATACTTGCTTCTGAAGGGTCAGGGGGAGACAAGGTCCTTGTTTCCAGCTTGTTGTTTGACTAAAGTCTACAGTATGCTTCTATACAGACTCACCTGGGTTTTTTGTGATTTAAAAATGTTGGTGCCTTCATAAAGAGTAGTGACCTTCTTCAAATAACAGTGTAAAAAAAAAAAATTGCCTCTACTGTGCTGGTGGGCATGACTTTTGCATGTTTGGTAGTATTCATGAAACAATATTTTCTTGCTGACGGGGTCGTGTGCAAGGCATGTTTCTTAACAAGCCCCTTAGGCATTCTGATGATGTTTCTTGTATGGTCTTTTAAGTGAAGAAAACTCTGCTCCTGTTGCAGCATTTTCTTATGACTGGGCATACAGTTATTTGGTGCTTAACATGTATGTGCAAACTGTTTGCAAAGAACTAGGTCATTGTTGCCTGTTAGTAAACTTGGAATAAAGACATTGGAGTGATGGAGACAGAACACCATTAGTAGTGGGTGGCTGAATCTTGGCAGAATCTTAGCTGAGTATAGGAAGTAGACACAGATACAAATATCTTTATAGTATGATTCTAGTTGTTCCTATGAACTAGCAAATTTGTATGCTTTTAATCTAACAATTTAAAAGCAGCATGCAATAATTAGACTCAGAACTTGTTCTGAAGAGGAAATGCACTTGAATCTGTTTGAATCTCCTGCTTTTATGCAGCCTCTCTTTATTTTTCAGACCTCTGTGGGAAAAGCTTTAAAACTTAACAGCCATGCCTTTTTTTTTTTTTTCTTTTTTTCTTTCTTTCTTCATTCAGGTAGTTAATTGTATCAAGTTTGTTCATCTCTGTCAGATATTTTTAACAAAATACACAAGATATCACCTGGTAGGGAAAAATGTCCACAGCAAAAGAATGAATTTCGGCAAGGTGGTAGTTAATGCTAAGCGTTGTATCAAGATAAATCCAGTTTGCTGTATCATTCTTTAAAATAAGGCACTGTTATTTGCTGATGAGGAAATAAGATTTTCCTGATGGAAAAATCCATCCATATTCATTCCTTAAGCATATGATATAGGAGTGCTGGTGATGTATTGTGAACACTGAGATGTATTTTATAGTTAGTTTAAGAAAGGTCATCCAGACTGAAAGCGTGCCAGCTAGTGATCAGAAACCTTACTTGATTCTCTTTTTCACAACTCATTTTTCCCAAAGACTGCTGTGTTCCTAGAACTTGCAAAATATGTTTTCTTTCAGCTAGGTTTCTGTGCTTGAAATCTGTGCTGCCTCTTTTGGCTTTCATTGCCATCTATTCTAGAATAGTATGTCATCAGAGACAAATTTGAGCATCTTTCAGGCCCCATCCCTTTTGGTTTGTTTTGTCCTTTCAAAGACATTGATTACAGAAGATGTGAAACAATTTAAGAAAGATACCAAAATAAAAAAATGTCTTGTGAGGAAGAAATTAGGAGTCTTAAAAAAGCAGAATGGGGAAGAAAACTCCTTCTGAATAACTCAGATTCTTAACCTGTCATTTCTGAGATCTGATGACCAACCATCTGATAGTCTCACTCTGGAAAAAGTTTTGTTTTCTACTCCTGCCAAATTGCAGAAGAGAGAACCAAACTTACTGGCTCTTAGTAAGTGATTCTGTCTGTTGTGGGAAATTTGCCTCATAAGGTTCTCGGGCTCCTTCCCATACTGTAACAGATCAGACAAAAGCCTTTTGTATTTAAATTCTTTTTTCCATTTTAGCTATATGTTTTCCTTGTTCCAGTGGCAGGCTTTTTTCTTATCTGAAAAAAATTCTTTTCACAGCATGTAATATGTGCTTTTGTTCCAGCTTTAAGATACGTGTTTGTCAAGAAGCCTAGCAGGGTCATGTACCTTTTGTGATTTCTCCTCTTTTATTTAGCAAGATTTCTAAATGTTGATCCTTGGAGCATTACTGCTCCATGCAGCCATGATAAATTGAAGACAGTTATGTCCAGTGTTTTCTGTTAAACATGCTCATAGGATCTATGAAAATAGCAACAATAAAACCCTTGTGCTGTGCTTGCTGTTGTATATATTGGAGTGCTTTCCAGTTGGCTAGTAAAGGTGCATGACTTAGTTTTGGTTTCTAATTTTTTTTGCGATTGTGTTAGCTGCATAGTAAGAGGCTTCTGAATTACTTTTTTTGAGAAACTTCTGGAAAGAGAAGTAATTTCAAAAGATTAGGATGTTTTTTCCCAGTGTGATGACAAAAGCTCTAGTGAAAAGAAAGATAATTCTTAGAGGAAAAATGTAGCCATATTTGAATTTCAACACTTGCATTTTTCTTCATGAAGTTTATTTATATTTTTCTTTGGTCTTTTTTGTCTTCATTCAGTCCTTAAATACTCACCTACATGTCGCCCATTCTTTTTCTGTAGCAGTAATAAAAGTTTTACCTAGGTGACCAGCAGACCGCTATTAGCTACAATAAGGAGACAAAGCAGTGCAAGCCACAGTTACTTCTGAGAACATACGCAATGCCTACGTAATTATGCAGAATCTTGTGCAAGAGCAACTGTTGCCAGGCTGATCTAAGCATGATGTTTCAAATGTAATTAATGTTTTTGCAATTACCAGTTTGGAATTTGTTTTAATTCTCAGTCCCAATAAATCTCAGGTTTGGTAAGGCATAACATGACTAAAACATGTAAATTAAGCATCCAGAGTAACTTTCAATTTTTATTTGACAGTATTGAGGCTGCTGTGGCTACTTTTGCTCAGGCTAGACCACCAGGTATTTATAAAGGTGACTATTTGAAGGAATTATTTCGTCGTTATGGAGACGAAGATGATGCACCATCACCACCTGAGCTACCAGAATGGTGCTTTGATGAAGATGAAGAGGAGGATGATGATAATGGTAAAACAGGAGGCCAAGAATCAGAACCTGGATCATCAAGCTCTTCCTTTGGCAAGAGGAGAAAAGAACGCCTAAAACTGGTATTTTTGATTAAGAACTTAATACGCTAATTGCTAAACTTAATTTCATAAATTCATAGTCATCGGTTACTACATAATACATGCTATACAAGCGTCAGTGCTCTTGCAGATGAGGACTGGTAGTATTGTCTCTAAGCAGGAAAAACTGGTAGATTCATTGCAAGCTTTCTTATGCTTCCTATATGAACCTTGTACTTTAACATTCGACACCTCAACTATTGCAGTTGTAAAAATTATTTAAAATTTTTCTAATGTAACAATTTTTTTTTTGAGTTGAGATAGTAAAGTGCTTTTTAATTATCCACTCTATCTTTAGACGTGAAATGTGATAGGTGTGTGTGTAAACAGTTTTTATTTATTTTTTGTAGCCATGTGGATGAAATTCAGAATTTTTTAAAATTCTCATTTTGGTAAATATTCTTACTTTTGGAAATTTGGGAGGATTGAGAATTGGATTAGCAAAAAGCAGTATGAGCTTAGAAACCCCAGGGCAGCTTTGAAATTATATTTTGTTCAAAGCTATTTTAACTGTATTATTGATAAGAAATATCACTTACCGTGATAATTTTGAAATACATCTGCATAATTCTGATGAAATGAGTTACTGTAGTTGCCATAGTATGGAGCTAATACTCAAGTTCAAAGAATATCCTTGCATCATCTGAAGACTAATGGCTCAGTTCTCCCCAGATTCCTAATTTTATTTTTTGTTGTTGTTTGCAGATAGATAAAGTAGGGGAGAATGTTACTGAGTGCAAAAATAGATTAATTTCTTTTTGCATAATACTGAATTATTTTACTTGTGTGCTGAGGTGTGTTTGTTTGCAAACACTTTGAAATCCTCATATGCAATGGGCTGCAAAAATGCATTTTGTTGTTACTGCAGCTGCTCAACATGGTTTACAGATGGAGCATGGAAGAAATTAGCCTGAAAGGAATACAAAATCTAGTCCAAAGAAGCAAGATGAACTTTGAAAACTTTCAAATATTCCATCTGCTGGAAGAAAAAATTGCCCACACTGTAAAAATCCATAGTAAAAATATACTCAGGGATATGACCACTACCTCCATTAGCCTTGCAGTAAAACATCGATATCTAAAAAAATTTTTTGGGGGTGGAACCTCAAAATTGTCTGTTTAACAGGAATCGTGATACTGGCTTCCCAGGCTTTTCCTTATCCGCCACCATAGCTTTTTGAAAGCTGGAAGCTAAATTATACGAATAAGCATATTAATAACTAGAAGTTAATTATGAGTTAGAGAATTTATGAAAGAAAGAATCATCTAGTTAATATGCATATTCGTATAATTCAGTTTTGCAGCTCTGGAGGAACATTCTTTGACGTGAAGAGGAGGAACGGGGACAATTCTTTACCATGGTTCTTGGCTGGCAGTTTGGACTGCTTCTTAACTCAGTAGAGATGGATACAATCTATTTGTGATTCCTTGTAAATATGTGATCTACAGGGGGAATGATTATCAGGTAAATACCTCTTGCTCAGATTTTCTTATTTTACTGTCTAAAGGGCTAAATTTTCAGCATTACGTTGATTTCCTGCAGCACATGTTTTCAGCCTTCTAATTTGACTCTCTAAACACCTAGGGGTAGACAGTGTCAAACTAGAGGTGGCTGTGGTGATAGTGGTATTCTGAAATGTTTTCATTTTGACCCAAATCTTTGTGAGGACAGAAGAAGAGTTTAGGGGTAGAGGAGGAGACGCGTCCCAGGCATCTTGCTAGGATAATGAATAATCAGAAGCGACTGCCCAGCTAGCCTGCGAAGTGAAGTTAGCATGCTGTCCATTTCAGAAATTCCATCTTGGATGCGAGAAACTTTACTGCAACATCTTTCACTAAAACTTCCATGTTTTGATGTCAAAAGTCTTGACAGCCTTTCTTTTCTACAATACAGAAACTGTGGGAACCATTAGAACATAATGCCATTACAGTTTCATTTGTCATCACCCGAATGTAGTTGACAGGTAACAGCAGATCTGTTTACTGTAGTCTCAGATGCTACACAGGAAATCGAAACATGTTTTGACTTTGTCAGTGCATGCCATAATGATCATAGCATCAAAGCAACATTATTAACTGACACTTAGAATCTCACTTCACGAAAAAAAATCTTCAGGAAAAAAATACTTGATTTTGCAAATAGGACAGAAAGGTGTCATTTTGAGCCAGAACCTTCAAACTTTTCATGGGTCAACCGGATCTTCTACTATTTGCTGAGGAATGCCATCTGTTCTAGTCCCATGTAAGCTGCATATTTCACAGGCATTACAGGGTGCAAGATGTAGTGCTTCTAAAATGGATGGTTACATTTCAAACGGTCTGGAAGAGATGGTAGCTGTTAATGATTTTCTTCATGATTTTGAGTGCAGGTGTTTTTTCTGTGAGACAGAAGGAAACCATTAAACCTCCTGGTTGACACAGTTAGCAAGGATAATATTTATTATTTAACTATCAAAGTATGTTGGTTCTAAATATTAGTGACTTTGGGTTTTCCTGCCTAACCTACTTTTTTTTTTTTTTTTTTTTTTAACCCCTGTACTTATTGTTCTGCCCATGGGCATTTTGATGGACATGGGGAAAAGATTATCTTCTGGTTTTGCAGCAGCATTTTATGTACTTGAATACTGGCATCATTTCCTTTTAGCCTTCTCTTTCTCTGCATTAAATATCAATTTGTTCACTTTTTCCCTGTAGTCGTTTTTTTTTTTTTTTTAATACTTCTGACCATTCTTGTCATTCTTTGTATTCTGTCATGTTGACTCACATTTTTCTGAGACTGTGGTGCCTATACTTGAACATAAGCCTCTAGTTGAGGCCATCCTAGTGCTTAATAGGGAGGAATTAATTTCACGTCTTAAGGCTAATACTTCTGTTTCTATATATCAATATAATTGCCTTTTACAAGACAGGATAATACTAATTCAGCCTTTGGTCTCTTGTTGCCACCATATCTTTTTCTCTAATTATCTACCAGTGTGTGTTTGTGTAACTGTTTATTCCTTATTAAGTGTAGGACTTTGTTTATACTGAATTGTACGCTGTTTTTTCCAGCCCATTCTTAAAATTAAGGCTAACACTGAATTCTTAAGCTACCATCACAGTCTGTATCCCTGTTACTAAATTCACAGATGTCACAAAAATAAGAATATGCTAGTAGAAAATTCAGGGAAAATAAATTTAATTCTCTTATACCTAAACCAGACCCCGCAGATCCTCCTCAATATATTCTTCCATTTTGTTAGTGAAACACTAACTCCTCTGAACCTGGTTCTCAAACAGGTTGCTCTTCTGTTTTATAGAAGGTACATCTACCCCATGTTTTCTGAGTTCCTCTATGAGAACAAGACAAGCAAACAAAAGACAAGCCAAGACAAAAGCCAGCATCAAAAGATGTGGTGTTTCCTGCTTCTTCTGGTTCTGTGAAGCCTGTTTCATCACCAAAACCAAATGATTAGTTGAACACTGTTTGTTACTGAGTGACAGTCAGTATGATTTGGTTTTATCTTTTTTGCTTGTACATGCCTAGAGGCAGTTTTTGTGATTTGGTCCGGTATTTCTAGGTATTAAATCTAAGCTGATCAGTGTAACACTGGCTCTCCCTTCCTCTCTTTTAGATGTGGACTCTCTCTCTTCCTGACATGTTTTGGAATGTTTCTCATCCTCTGGAAGGCAGTCTCTGAGCGTACTGGCACCTGGTCAAGTCTGAGTAGCTGAAGATGGCTATCACCCAGGCCTGGTGATAGTCACTAGGGTCAGGGATGTGTGTGTTTGGGGCTGTTCCCACTCACCCACTCCTCCACATGGTGTTTAGGATCTGAACCAACACAAGATGATATATGTTGCCACTTCCCCTTCAGCTGAAGTGACGGGTGGAGGGATATGGTGGCAAGTGGGGAGAGCTTGATTAGTACAGATGGTGTGAAGGTTGTGCAGAGCGTAGATACTAAGTGCACGTAGTTACCTTGGAGCCATTAGGGCTTATAACTCTTGGCTTAGT